CTTTAACTTGGGCTAGGCTAAACTATCTGCAGGGTTCCTGAACACCTTTTCTTTCTTTCTGTCTTTCTTTTCTTTCTGTCTTTTTCTTTCTTTCTTTCTTTTCTTGGAAAGCTTCCGTTTTCCTCTCAGCTTCCTGCTTTCCCTGTGACTATTATACTTTTAGGAAGGTCTTTTTCCATTATCCTTCCAACCTGTTCCTCATTCCGCATGGTATCAAATCATTATGCTTTCTTGTGTGTGCTAGTACTAGGGCTTGAACCCAGGCTCATGCTCTTGCTTGGTTTTTCTCTCAAGGCTGGCACTCTACCACTTGAGCCACACTTCCACTTCCAGGATTTTTGTTTTTGTTTTTTTGTCAGTTGTGGGGCTTGAACTCTAGGCTTGGGTGCTGTCCCTGAGCTCTTCAGCTCAAGGTGAGCACTCTGGCACTTGAGCCGCAGCGCCACTTCCAGTTTCCTGGTGGTTAATTGGAGATAAAAGATTCACGGACTCGGGCTGGGAAGGTGGCTCAGTGGTAGAGCGCTTGCCTTGCATGCTCGAGGCCCTGGGTTCAATTTCTCAGCACCACGTAAGCAAAAAGAAAAAAGTCGGAAGTGGCGCTGTGGCTCAAGTGGTTGAGCTGAAGAGCTGAGGGACAGCGCCCAGGCCCAGAGTTCAGGCCCCACGGACTTTCCTGTCTGGGCTGGCTTTGAATTATGATCCTCAGATCTCAGCCTCCCTGAGTAGCTAGGATTACAGGCATGAGCCTCCAGCGCCTGGTTTCTTTGTTGGATTTTTTTGTTTTTGTTTTTTTGGCTTGGAGATAAGAATCTCTCACAGCTTTGAATGGGGGATTCTCAGATCTCAGCTTCCTGAGTAGCTAAGATTACATGTATGAGCCATCAATATCTGGCTCCAATCAATTTTTAAATACCTATTCAAAAAGTATTTATACTTAGGAGCTATGTCACATCTAGGCAACATGGCAGAGGGCAGAACCTCAAAGTAACTGTGTGCAAGGCCAGCAAAGGTTAAGATAACTCTGGCAGTCTTCTTGCCACCCAAAGATACCATGTTCAGTTTTTGGTTTGTTTTTTTTTTGGGGGGGTCCAGTCGTGGGGGCCTGAACTCTGGGCCTGGGCACTGTCCCTCAGCTCTTCAGCTCAAGGCTAGCACTCTACCACTTGAGCCACAGCACCACTTCCAGCTTTTTTCTTTTTGCTTATGTGGTGCTGAGGAATCGAACCCAGGGCCTCATGCATGCAAGGCAAGCACTCTACCACTGAGCCACCTTCCAGCCCCCCTTGTTCAGTTTTTGCAGTAACTACTTTTGTAACACCGATTTTCTCTACTGCATATACATCTGTGAAGAATATACTTCACAATCCTAAATTTAGTCTAAAATCTTAGGGTGATTTATGAACTTCATTACAACTGAAAATGCATAATATATCTTGTGGGTTAACTTCCACTTTCAAGAGATTGAGATTTCTTCCATTGATATTCTTCCTCCCTACCCCAAATAGGTTTTGTCTTTTCAATAGTTAGCATTTTTCTCTCAGTATATTTTTCTCCCTAACTCTGTGGTAGTGTTTTCACTGGAGTTGTTTTGTTTGCTGCCCTCTATTGGCATTTATAAACAATTTTTTGTCTAAAGAAAACTTGCCTGCTAGGTGCTGATGGCTCACACCTGTAACCCTAGCTTCTCAGGAAGCTGAAATCTGAGGATTGAGATTCAAAGCCAACCCTGGCAGGAAAGTCCATAAGACTCTTACCTCCAATAAACTACTCAGAAAAAGCCAGAAGTGGTGCTGTGGCTCAAGTGGTAGAACAATAGTCTTGAGCACAGAGAGGCTCAGGGACAGCACCCAGGCCCTGAGTTCAAATCCCAGGACTGAAAAAACAAAAACAAAAAAAACATGCTGGAGTTTCTATATACTTGACATTTTTACTTCTGTTTGCAATATCTGACTAAATCTAAAACAAATAACTCTATTCTCCCTGTTTTTGTGCATTGTAAGAGTCCTATTCTTTTCTGAAGACATATAGGAATTTATTTCCGTGTGCTTTTATTGTTTGAATTGCTCATAAAATTAGGAAGAAGGGACTAGGAAGGTGGCTCAGTGGTAGAGCGCTTGCCTTGCATGCCTGAGGCCCTGGGTTCGATTCCTCAGCACCACATAAACAAAAAGAAAAAAGCCGGAAGTGGCGCTGTGGCTCAAGTAGTAGAACGCTAGCCTTGAGCTGAAGAGCTGAGGGACAGCGCCCAGGCCCAGAGTTCAGGCCCCACGACCCGACCCCCCCAAAAAAAAAAAAATTAGGAAGAAGTAGAAACAAAAACAAATAGTATCATCACTGCCTATGAAGAGCCAAACGAATGAAGAAAAGGGAAGGAACTAATAGAATAGAGTTTCTACCTCTGCCCTCCCCCCCCCCCCCTCACATAAGTTTTTATTTCTGCTTTTGTTCTTTGGGGAGGGTGGGGTGTTTTGTTTTGTTTTTAAGACAGGCTCACTGTGTAGCCGAGGCTGGCCTTGAACTAACATCCTACCCCCACTCCTTTTGCTTTTAGTTTGTTTTTCAGCTAGAGTCTTGAGCTTTTTGCTCAGGCTGGCCTAAAACGATAATCCTCCTATTTCTGCCACACAAGTTAAAAAAAAAAAATCACAGAGAGGGAGAAAATCAAGGAAAGAATGCCATGGTCCAAAAGTACTGTACCCATTAACTGACTTGTGGAATTATAACCCCTTTGTACAACATCTTAATAATAACAAAATTTTCTAATTGCATAAAATTGAGCTAGAACATAGGACCCCAGAATCCCATCAATTACATTTCACCGTTGGTAGGTGGGTGGCTTGCAGCTCTCACACAGTGTCCTGAAGAGCTGGGAACATCTTTGGTGTAGTGGGCATTAAGCTGGCCTGCCATTCAAATCCCCCGATCCTCTCCCATTTTGTACTCTAGTATTTAACCTTTCCGGGTAGGAGAGGATCAATACAAATTCTTCATTGTTAAGAATCGATGGCTGTCCTGTGTGCCATCTCGTCTTGCTGAGAAGCCCAGTAAATCTCTGCTGTATTTGTAAAGCTGGGTGTGTCATCTTCAGTGGCTTTCATTTTTAATGCCGATCACTTTGGTTTCCATTCCCCAGGGGTTTGCAGATAAATCTTGGCGTACATACATGTTCAGGGTCTACAAATGCGGTGCTGGAAAAGGCCAGCCCACCCAGAATTTAGTCATAATGGATGAGACATCCCTATGGTTTCACTTAAAGACTGAGCTATTGGTTTTGGTATTTATCAGTGATTACCTCATAGGAGGACCTGGAAGGGAGGTATTGGGACCAAATTCCCACTTGACCGGGGAGGCCAAAATATGAGTCGTAAGGCAGAAGCATGCTGGCTGACTCAGGCACTCCAATAAATCAGCAGAGATATCTGTTCCTTCAAACGCATCATTGAGAAAAAGGCAGTAGATGTTTTAGTTCTTTTATTTTCTTTGTGCACATCTCGGGGCTTGATCTCAGTGTCTGAGTGCTATCATGTGGAAGGCTAGCACACTATCACTTGAGCCTTAGCTCCAACTCTGCGTGTTTGGTGGTAATTGGAGATGGCCGGCCACTGGTAGCTCACACTTGTAAATCTTAGCTACTCAGGAGGCTGAGATAGATCTGAGGATGGCAGTTCAAAGCCAGCCTAGGCAGGAATGTCCATGACACTTTTTTTTTTTTTGTCGGTTGTGGGGCTTGAACTCTGGGCCTGGGCGCTGTCCCTCAACTCTTCAGCTCAAGGCGAGCACTCTACCACTTGAGCTACAGCGCCACTTCCGGTTTTCTGGTGGTTTATTGGAGATAGGAGTCTCACGGTCTCTCCTGCCCGGGCTGGCTTTGAACCGCGATCCTCAGATCTCAGCCTCCTGAGTAGCTAGGATTACAGGCGTGAGCCACCAGCGCCCGGCTTCCATGACACTTTTTATCTCCAATTAACCACCAGAAAACCAGAAGTGGCATTGAGGCCCAAAGTGTAGAGTGCTAGCCTTGAGCACAAAAGAGCTTAGAGATAGTGCCCAGGCTGGGAGTTCAAGCCCTATGACCAATGGAAAAAAAAAATGATTTCATGGACTTTCCTGCTTAGACTGGATTTGAACCCTTATCCTCAAATCTCATGAACCACCAATGCTCGGCTAGCACTAGATTTTTTTTTTTTAGATGCAAAAAAGTCTGGTAGAGCCAGGCACCAGTAGCTCACGCCTATAATCCTAGCTACTCAGGAGGCTGAGATCTGAGGATCATGGTTCAAAGCCAACCCAGGCAGGAAAGGCCATAAGACACTTTATCACCAATTAACCATCAGAAAACCAGAAGTAAAGCTGTGGTTCAAATGGTAGAGCCTTGAGCAAAAGAGCTCAGGGACAGTTCCCAGGCCCCAAGTTCAAGCACTACCACCAAAATTTTTTTTTTTTTTTTTTTTTGGGTCCAGTCGTGGGGCCTGAACTCTGGGCTTGAGCGCTGTCCCTCAGCTCTTCAGCTCAAGGCTAGCACTCTACCACTTGAGCCACAGCGCCACTTCCAGCTTTTTTCTTTTTGCTTATGTGGTGCTGAGGAATCGAACCCAGGGCCTCAGGCATGCAAGGCAAGCGCTCTACCACTAAGCCAACTTCCCAGCCCTACCACCAAAATTTTTTAAAGTCTGGTAGGAAACATCTTTGTGATATTTATTTACAAACCAACTAAAAGATACCTGGCTTCTTTTCTTTTACTTATAAGTAAATATAGCATCATATTGTTGAACGGCTTCCTATTAGGAGTAAGCAGTAAATATTTAATGTTAGTTAATGATCTCCTTCTCCCATAGTCCTTTGCCCATGCTGAAAGTTTGGCTGTATCTCATCTGGAAACCCCCTGAACCTTACGTTTTCTAGGGGCCATATTAGAATCCTAGTTTCCATTTGCAGCAAATATGTGGCTCCTTGGAAAAGATGGAGTTCTTTTAACTTTGATTTCTCTTCTCTTTGATCAGTGGACTATGCCAGTTATTATCAAGGCCTATGGGATTGCCATGGTGACCAGCCAGATGAACTGTCCTTCCAGCGAGGTGACCTCATCCGTGTTCTGAGTAAGGTAAGGACATACAGCATGGGCTTTGTGCCCACAATTTGCTCACTCTTGGTGGTGTACTCTCCAATGCCAGAATAATTCGAGGTTGGCACACTTCAGCATGCATATTACCTATCTTCCACACACATAGAATGAATTGCCATTTGTTTGTAATTGCTAGGGATAACTTTAATAAAAAGTTCAGATTCAAGAATCAATTTTCAGGATCTGGGAAGGTGGCTCAGTGGTAGAGTGCTTGCCTTGCATGCATAACCCTGGGTTTGATTCCCCAGCACTACATTAAGCAGAAAAAGCTGGAAGTGGTGCTGTGGCTCAAGTGGTAGAGTGCTAGCCTTGAGCTGAAGAGCTGAGGGACAGCGCCCAGGCCCAGAGTTCAGGCCCCATAACAATCAATTTTCAAATTTAAAAACTCAGTTGACAGAAGACTAAGAGTGTGCATAATCAAGATCTGATCTTTTTCAAGGACTATGTGATGTGATACTTTAAGGTCATCACTATGTACATTATTTATCACCATATAATACTCCTGAAAACATTCTGGCTAGGTAAGCTGCCTGCTTATTTCATTTATAGATAAACAAGACTGTAATATAATTACCTCTGGGGGAGGAGTCCAAGTTAGTTACCTCAATTGGTTTGAGCAAATGCTGATAAGGCCAAGATAGTGAACCCAATCACACACAGGCCAGCCAACTTTATTCTTTCCTCAGCCATAAGTTAACCCCTCGATTCAGGTGACCATCTCATAACAGTGCCCTTGAGCATAAAAGAACAGCGGTGGGGTTTTTTTGTTTTCTTTTTTGGTTTTTTGTTTGTTTGTTTGTTGGTTGGTAGGTCGTGGGGCTTGAACTCTGGGCTTGAGCGCTGTCCCTACACTCTTCAGCTCAAGGAGAGGGCTCTATCCCTTGAACCACAGCTCCACTTCGGGTTTTCTAGTGGTTAATTGGAGGTAAGAGTCTCAAGGACTTTCCTGTCCAAGCTGGCTTTGAGCCACAATCTCAGCCTCCTGAGTAGCTAGGATTATAGGCATGAACCACCGGCGCCTGGCCAAGAACAGTGTTTTAAAAAATATATTATTACCAATCCGTCACTAATATGAAAACAATTCTCAACCCCTATGGCCTATAGTTTGAGACATAAGCATCAACCTTGCAAAGAAAGGCCACGCATATTGTATAGGGCAGACTAAGAAAACAGGTTCTGTTCATAAAAGAACTTATTGAAAAGGCCTCTCCCGACCAAGTTCTAGATATTCACCTCTGTAATCATACCATTCAAGAGGATGAGATCTGAGGTCTGTGGTTCAAAGCCATCCTGGGCAGAAAAGTCCAGGAGACTCTTATCTTGAATTAAACTTCTGGCAAAAAGCCAGAAGTTGGGGTGTGACTCAAATGGTAAAATGCCAGTGTTAAGTGAAAAAGCCAAGCAAAAGTGTGAGGCCCTGAATTCAAGCCCCAGTATTGGCACAGGAAAGAAAAAAAAAAAAGGTCCCTCTCTATGTATCCAATCCAGATCTAATATGTGTGTGTGTGTGTATGTGTGTGTGTGTGTGTGTGTGTGTGTGTGTGTGTGTGTGAATAGGTCCACTTTTTTTTTTTTTTTGGTCAAGTTGTGGAGCTTGAACTCAGGGCCTGGGTACTGTCCCTGAGCTCTTCAGCTCAAGGCTAGCACTCTACCACTTTGAGCCACAGCACAACTTTCAGTTTTCTGGTGGTTAATTGGAGATAAGAGTTTCTTGCCCAGGCTGGCTTCAAACTGTGATCCTCAGATCTCAGCCTCCTGAGTAGCTAGAATTAATAGGCATGAGCCATTATCTCCTGAACACTTTGTTGTTTAAGTGCTGAGTATGTTGATTCCTTGAAGAAAAACAGAAAATGTCTTTGTGTTGTCAACCATTATTTCCCATTTGTTCGACGGATGCTACCACAAAGGCCAAGGGTTGGTTTAGGTTGGGTTTGAAATATGCCATAAGCTCCTTAGGAAACAGATCAAGGTCCTGTTCACTCTTTCCAATACATCAGGCCTCTTTAAACAGGGACTGCATTCAGAACTAACTCTTTTCAGGAGAGGGGGAGACCTGCAAGCCTGCAGAATGAGATGGCAAATGTTTTAGCGATTTCTCCTGGATCCCTAACTCAGCACCACCCTCGTGCCATTTCCTTGCAGCTCCAATACACCAAGAATAAATTGGAAGCAAAGAAGGGAGTGGACATTGGCCTGATTGGTATTTCAAATGCCCGAAAGCAAGGTTTGCCGTGTAATAGAATTTGTGTACATTACCACACTGGCATTACAGGGTAATCGAGTTATTCACTCAGGTGTGACCAGGCCTCTGTTTGCCCAGAGCCTGCAGGTGAACAAATTAACTGTTTACATTGTCTGGAGGTGCCTGCAGCAGGAGGGAGAAAACAGAGCTGGCTGTCTGCTGGCCTTCTCTCAGTCTTGATTATATTTTGTTTGTTTTGCATGTCTTTTGCCTTTGTTAATGGCTTCTCACTGGGGGTCCCTTTCCTCCGGTCAAAGCTAAGGTATTGTGAAGAATCTCAAAGAATATAGAGGAACCAACCCCACTTGTTTAAAAAGAAGAAGAAGAAAGAAAGAAAGAAACCTCTCAGCAGGGCGCCAGTGGCTCACACCTGTAATCCTAGCTACTCTGGAGACTCGGATCTGAGGATCGTGGATTGAAGCCAGCCTGGGCCGAAAAGTGCCCGTGAGACTCTTATCTCCAATTAACCACTCAAAAACTGGAAGTAGAGGGCTGGGAAGGTGGCTCAGTGGTAGAGCGCTTGCCTTGCATGCTCAAGGCCCTGGGTTCGATTCCTCAGCACCACATAAGCAAAAAGAAAAAAGCCGGAAGTGGCGCTGTGGTTCAAGTGGTAGAGCACTAGCCTTGAGCTGAAGAGCTGAGGGACAGCGCCCAGGCCCAGAGTTCAGGCCCCACGACCGGACCAAAAAAAAAAAAAACTGGAAGTAGAGCTGCGGCTCCAAGTGGTAGTGTGCTAGCCTTGAGCAAAAAGAGCACAGGGACAGAGTCCAGACCCTGAGTTCAAGTCTCACAACTGACCAAAAACCAACCAAACAAACAAACAAAACAACAACCCTCTCTCTTCCCCTCCTCCATTACTAAAAGAAACGATACCAGAGTTAAATTCAGTGAAACTACCTTTCTGCCCTGATTCTATCAACTTGTTTCTCTGCTATTCTGGAAGGTTCAAGTCCATTTTTATCCCTTACCATTAGAATATCCCATTTTTTTCCCACCATAAACCATACCAGAACCCTCCTTCCCTCCAGGAAGAGTTGAGAAGTTGTATAGTTCGAGAGATCTTTCTCTTAAGCTTCACTCGAATTAACATTGACTTGAGAAGATTCTCAAACTGGATTTACCTGGATTCTGTTACCTTACTCAGAGTACTTGGACAAGAAGGAAGTGAAAATGACTTCCTCTATGAAGTACAAACCAGCCAGTTCAGCAGATAGAAGGGGGAAAAAAAGAGATTCCATTACCATTTAGAAATCCAGTTGTTTCTGCCCTCCAGAATTGTTTCTCATATGGATTCTAAATTTATTCCACGTTAGCCCCATCTGGCTTCCTTCGTTAAAGCTGCCGCCTGCCTCTCACATCTGGAGGGGCAGAACAAACTCAAGTTATCTATCTAGAAAGGTCCTCCAGGTGCTGGTGGCTCATGCCTGTAATCCTAGCTACTCAGGAGGCTGAGATCTGAGGATGGCAGTTCAAAGCCATTCTGGGCAGGAAAGTCTGTGAGTCTCTTATCTCCCATGCACCACCAAAAAGCTGGAAATGGAGCTGTGGCTCAAGTGATAGAACACTAGCATTGAGCAAAAAAGCTCAGGAACAGAACCCAGGCTCTGAGTTCAAGCCTTAGATCGAAAGAAAGAAAGAAAGAAAGAAGGGAAGGAAGGAAGGAAGGAAGGGAAGGGAGAGAGAGAGGGAAAGAAAGAAAGGAAGGAAGGAAGGAAGGGAGAGAGAGAGGGAAAGAAAGAAAGAAAGAAAGAAAGGAATGAAGGAAAAAGAAAGAAAGAGAGGGAGCAAGAAAGGGAGGGGGAGGGAGGGAGGAAAGGAAGGAAAGAAAGGAAGGAAGGAGAAAGAAAGAAAGAGAGAGAGAGAGGAAGCGAGAAAGGGAGGGGGGGAGGGAGGGAAGGAAGAAAGGAAGGAAGAAAGGAAGGAAGGAAGGAAGGAGGGAAGGAAGGAAAGGAGGGAGGGAGGGAAGGAGGGAGGGAGGGAGGGAGGAAAGGAAAGAGAAAAAGGAAGGGAGGTTCCATGTTTCTTTTCTCTCTGGCCAGAGAACCTTTGCCAAGCTAGTTAGGCCTCTGTTTAGAAAGCTGGGCGTGTCTGTTTCCCTGAGAAAGGCAAGATGCCACTACACAGTTCACCTTACCTGGCCTTATTTCCTCTCCTGTAAGACAAGGAGTTGTGCCAGATAGCATAGATCTAAGGTTCCACCTCAGACATTCCTGTGGTAAGCGTGTGGGCCTGACTGCCAAACCAGTAAAGTCCCACGCCTAGCTATATATTCACTTTAATTAAGTGCTCAGTTTAAAAACAAATCGGCAACAAAAATTTCAAAATACCAGCTATTTTATCTTCAACCCTCAGATACAACTGTTTTAGTGTGTGTGTGTGTGTGTGTGTGTGTGTGTGTGTGTGTGTGTGTGTGTGTGTGTGTGTGTGTTGTGAAGGAGATAACCCAGGGCCTCACCACTAAGTGAAATCCCTGTTCCCTTGAAAAGAGATGTTGTCTAGGGGAAATGGGGCTGGAGGAAGGAAGGCCTCTGCGTGAGGAAGCAGGGTTGAGCAGGCAGGAAGGGAAAGAAGTCAGCTTTACTCGTGGGCCCTTACAGACACACAGGTATGAGCTCATCTTGAATCCTAGAGTCCTAACCATCTTTAGGGGGATCATTGCATCTTGCCCTGGGCATGAATGGTCCCCAAAGGAGAGAGATGAATCTTTTATTTGAAAGAAATAAATGACGGAGCAAGA